CCCCAAAACCCCAAAACCCCAAAACCCCAAGTCATTATTCCTGTGCATTTTTAATTATTTCTTTAACAAGAAAATAAAAATAGAAATTTATCATTCATAATAAAATGTTACAACAAGTTAATTATAGTGGCTCAAATAACATAGGTATCCATAATATTTTATCATTTTCATAGGGGAAGTTAGGAATGGAGAAGGAGAATAAAATCACCATAAATGTAAATTATATGCTTTAATTATTTAAGATATAAGTGCAACTAGGAAGAATGATTAAGAATATAAATATTCTAAATGCTAGAAAAAAGAATCTTGCAGCAGACTTATATACAAAGATCTGTAATCTAATCAGTCATTATAGAGTTAAATAGGATGTGCAAGAAGCATTATTTAGATACAATTAAATTGACTCTACGTGGGGAGTTTAAAAGAGTGTACAGAGGTCCTGATCAAGTAATACTAATTAATTAATTAAGTAATTTCTCTTAAAGGCATATGCGGCTATTGATTTTAATGGCAAAGGCTTCATTACGGAAGAGAATTTTCTGGCTTGTCTAATTGCAAAGAGGATTCAAAATAAATACAAAGAGAGCGATATTCGTGAATATCTGCATAGAGACAACTTATTTAAGGAAAGCGATAGTAACTCTCGCATGGACTTTGAAACATTCAAAAAGAGCTATTTCCCTCAACTATTTCATGTTAAAGATGACAATTAATCTGAAGATGAGCATGATGATCTTCAAAAGCTCAAGCAGGGAGTTAGCTAGAACACTGATTAAGAATAGTCTCTATTTAATAAACTTACCAAACTAGAAACCATGATAAAAGACAAATTTGCAAATAATTGGGTCAGTGTGAGGAAAGCATTCCTTGACTTGGACACTGATTATGATGGCTTTGTAACTGTAGAAGACATTTTAAGATACTTTGGGAATGAAGGCACTAAAAAAGAATTTGACTTTAGGGATTTAAAAAAATTAATTGTTGATAAAGATTCCAAAAGACTTGGAAAAATAAGCTACGCTGATTTTAGTAAATGGATGGGAGGAGTTATTCATCAGAGTGAAGGGTTTTACTTCAGACATGATTCTATGAAAAATCCCTAATATGAAAAGAATCTCAAGAACTATGAAGAAAAGATAATGAGAAATAACTAGAAGATAATGAAAGAGCAACTTGATGAAATGGATATTGAGCACACTGTTATTGAAAAGATCAAGTTTCAATGGAAAACCTTGAAGAAGGCTTTTATAGATTTAAATCAAGAAAAAACTGGCGCTATTAAGCCTGCTGAACTTAAAATTTATCTGCATCATTGGGGCCTGTATATTAATGATGAGTAATTTAAAAAGCTCTTTGATAAGTTTGATCACGATAAAGATGGTAAAATTTCATATGAAGACTTCTAAAATACTGTTGGAATGGAGATTAATCCAATGGAATTTTTGTATTTCAGATAAGATAATCCTAGAGCTCCGAAACAGCAAACTTGCAGACACGATAAATGCTGGGAAAGTCCAATAGGTTTTTCAGATTATTGTCAGACTCATGTTAAAATGTTTAAGGAAAGAGGACTTCAAATTCTTACTGGATTAACTGAAAAAATTCCAGATTGGAAGACATTCATTAAAAGAATCAGACAAAATGTTTAGAAGGATGATGCAAATATCATTAAATTCACAACCTTTATAAAAGTTCTAGAAGATTACGATGTGAAATTGAATGAAAGAGAGAAGGAATTAATTATGCAATCTTTCGTTGCTAATTAAGACAGAGATAATATACTCATAAATGTAAGTAGGCTGTTTTCAATTAGGCTAACCAATAAAATAAGGAAAATATATGATAAGGTAGACATGTATGAAGAAATGGATAATCCAGATTTGGTTGATAATAGTGGCTACTTTGGTATTTTCTACAGGGAGAAAGTTAACTTAAAAGACATAAATGAGAATTAATTTGTTGATGTCATTTCCAGAAATAATAAACTAGTTGGAATAATGAAAAACATTAAGGAAATAGATAAAGACAACAATGGGTATGTCACAAATTAAGAGCTAGATGACATATTTAAGATGCATTATGAAAGGGAACTTGGAGATAAGGATATAAAAAAGTTATTCAAGCCATTTGCAAGCATTTAAAACCGAATTCTTATTGATTATAAAAAGCTTAGAGATCATATACTTGCAAAGTTAAAAGATAGAGATGATAAGGGAGAACAGGTACTGCCTACTTAAATTACTCTTGATAAAAGATCTGAATCATTCAAAAGTTCTTTGGGAAGGTCAATCATGAAGCAAAGATTATCAACTGAGAGAAAGCCCATTTTAAGAATCGAGGATCAGAGTGCTAACTATATCTAAAGAGAGAGACCGAATAAAAATACTTTAAACAATATAGACTATGCAAGTAATCCAACTCTTAAGACTCCAGAGAAATACGGTAAAAATATTAATGGTAGTTTATTTCAAAACAATTCTCAAATAATGGGGTTCACTCCAATGATTAAAGACAGGATTAAGACACCTTCTTTAATGTAGAAAAATCAGAATATGTCTGCTAATTTTAAAAATCATCAGAACCTCAATAAAAGCTTAATAAATGACCCTACATAAATCACAAGTAGTCTGACTAAAAATGCTTAAGTTAGGACGAAGCTAGCTTATGAATGGAAAAATATTTACAGAGGACTGAGTCTTTAGGATCAATAGAATAGCGGCAAAATTAACAAAAGATTATTTGAAAAAACTGTGCATCAGAATGGAGTTTATCTATCTAAAGAGGAGCTAATTAATATTTACTCAAGATTTAGTATTTCAGAAAACGATATTGACTATGCATAAATGTCAAAAGACATGGGTCTGTAATCTAATTCACTAAACCTTGTTTCTCAAACCCACAAATACCTGAGCTAGATCCATCAGTATGGATAGAATATTCAAAATTAGCATTCATAAATGAGGCCGTAGTCAACTAACACTCAGATCTCAAACTTAAAATCAGTTTAAGACACAAAATCTGTTTTGAATTTCAATACAAAGCCATAGTATCTCAATAATTCAAACACACATATAGAAGAGACGAAGAGTGTTTCTAGATCAGTAATTAATAATGATGTGCATCAGCGCAGACATAGTTAGTAGTCTCAGAGATCTTATAGAACTAATTCTGTCATGGGAAATGATTCTAGAAATATCACTAAGATTCTCAATAAAAATCTTGACTAGATTAAATACATGCTCAAATCCTCTGATGTCAACAGAAAGGGCTATTTGAGTGAGTAATAAATGATGAACTTGATGAAGAATTTCAACATTGCATTGACATCTTATGGCAAATTTAAGAAGACTGGCACTGATGAAGTTGACTATATTAAGTTCCTCAAACACTATTTGTGAGATTTTCAATTTTACTCTATTTATCTTTTCATTCATTTAATTTACTTTCAAATATGCGGGGTTTTGGGGTTTTGGGGGTTTTGGGGTTTTGGGG